GATAATAGGGGTCCCACGCAGTTCAAACGAAAATGAAATTATCGGCTCGATTGGGTGCCCGGGAGAGCAACGGTCTAGCTAACCGTTGGTCCTGGTTTCGATCCGCACAGCCTGGCGAGCACCTGACAAAGCGAGGTGCTCGCCGCCCCCCCCCCGGTAGCTGGAAGTAGTAGACGGAGAGTGAGCTCGTGACCGAAAGTGGAGTCACAGCGCCTGGACCGTCTCGAAAACAGCTACCGACCGTGCGGATCGAACCACCGGGTTCCAGTGGCAGAGCACCCTTCATGCACTGGTGGAACTTGACGCCGCACTGCGAAGATTCCGCGTGCGGGCACACAGGACCGGAGACGCAGTACACAGGATACGGACGTTTCATGATACCTCTGCCGCGCTACGCCCGTTATCGATCACTCATTCAATAATCACTCGTTAATTAATCGCTTTGTTCTTTGTAGTTGTTAGCCTCATCTCTTTCTCTAGTCTCTTTGTAGTTCCTTTGTAATCCCTTGCAAATGTCCTTCACTCTCAGCTTCGGCACGATCAATATAATCGTATTCACTACCACTACTACCACTACCACTACTACCGAGTCCCCTATTACTACCGGTGGGCAGGGTACTACTACTACTACTGGTGGGCAGTGTACTACTACTGCGGCCCCTACTACTACTCCGGCTGGTGGGCAGTGTACTACTACTGAGGCCTCTAGTACTACTCCGGCTGTTGGTGGGCAGTGTACTACTACTACTACTACTACGGCGGGTGGGCAGTGTACTACTACTACTACTACTACTGCTGGTGGGCAGTGTATTACTACTACGGCGGGTGGGCAGTGTACTACTACTACTACTACTACTACTACTACTACTACTACTACTACTACTACTACTACTAGTACTACTACTACTACAGAGGCCCCTACTACTACTGGTGGTGGGCAGTGTACTACTACTGAGGCTCCTAATCCTATTACGGAGGCCCCTACTACTACTACTACTACTACTACTACTACTACTACTACTACTACTGGTGGGCAGTATACTACCACGACTGGCGGGCAGTGTACTACTACTGGGGCAGAGGGGGATAATGGTAAGATTACTATTACTACTACTACTACTACTACTACTACTACTACTTAAATTGTTATCGTTATTTTAGGTACCAATTACAATCGTCACTATATCCCCTCCGCCCCCTCCCGCCA